TGCAATGACGTGAGAAAGTGCTTAGTGACGTGAGAGAGTTCGTGTAGTGTAGCGACCAGTCGTGTTAAAGTGGTTGCAGTGACGCGAGAGAGTGAGTGCAGCAATGTGAGAGTAGGTATTCATGTGAGATAGTGTGTATGGACGTGAGAGTGTGTAGTGTAGGGGCGTGAGAGTGCTGGTAGTGGCGTGAGAGTGTGTATAGTGAAGTGAGACAGTATGTACTGACGTGAAATGTATATGACATGAATGTGTTTATTGACAGGAGAGAGAATGTGTAGCAGAGACAGGCCAAATTTCGGCTTTCCTTTCGACGCCGAAAATTGCCAATTTATCACCTCCGGCGCAGTTTCAGTTTGGGCTAAAACAAACCAAAAAAAAAAAATAATAAAAAAATCTGGGTTTATTTTCGGTTTCGGCCGACAGTGTTTGAGGCTTCGAAAGTGTTCGGTCGTCTAGGTCTCGGCGTAGAATCGCAAAAGACATCTCAAAATCGTACACCGTACGCCAAAATGGTACGTGTAAACATGTCTGCAGTATGCCTGCTACATAATGATTAAAGCAAAAGCCTAATTAAAATGTTATTTGGAGATATTGGTCAAGTAGGTCATCATGCAGCTGTGAACAGTGCTCGCAGAAGATTATTCATCTATCATACGATTACAGCAAAACGTCGAGAAATAATGAATATCGGATTGCCGGCCGACAGACAGAGAGAGTGACAGTCTGACTTCTGGTAAACCAGTGGTCGGCAAACTCGTAAGTCAAAACGCCAAACATCACCAGCAGGACGATTTTAAAAAAATAAATAAATTGAGACACACATTTCTTTTCAAGAGCCATGTTTTTCGGAGACAAAACCGATTTGTGGCCGGCCGGCTAAAGAGCCACATGATGTCATTTCTCAATGGTGTGTTTATTGTATGGGAGATCGATATATTGGCCGTTGTGTTACATTTTTATAATGATGTATTGGTGTGTACATTGTATTTTATGACAAATTGACAAATGTCTATCATATTTTTATCATGACATATTGGCGTGAGTATTATTAGTATTATATTACTATTACGGCATATTATGATGAATATTTTGGGGGCTATTGGCTTATTGGCATGTCAAGTTTACTATTGAAAGCTCAGTTTCCATGACACAAGATATATCCAGAAAATTTCATCACACTGCTTCTTAATGAATAATGTTATCTGAGCCGTTCTTAAGATTTAGGGGGGCCCTAGGCATGGAGCGCAGGAATGGGGCCGCACCCACAATTGTGGCACCTCCATTCTGCCTTCGTCGCTGTTTCATCCTTGCTCAACCACGAACCATAATGATAATTCCGCCACTATAGAAAATGTGTACTTCTGAAATATATGGACTTGCAAGGTGTAGGCTAAACAAAGAAATAAGAAGCTCCGGCGGGGACCCCTTGGCAGTGGAGCCCTTGGCAGTGGAGCCCTTAGCAGTGGAGCCCTTGGCAGTGGAGCCCTTGGCAGTGGACCCCTTGGCAGTGGAGCCCTTGGCAGTGGAGCCCTTAGCAGTGGACCCCTTGGCAGTGGACCCCTTGGCAGTGGAGCCCTTGGCAGTGGAGCCCTTGGCAGTGGAGCCCTTGGCAGTGGACCCCTTGGCAGTGGACCCCGTGGCAGTGGACCCCTTGGCAGTGGAGCCCTTGGCAGTGTAGCCCTTGGCAGTGGAGCCCTTGGCAGTGGACCCCTTGGCAGTGGAGCCCTTGGCAGTGGACCCCTTGGCAGTGGAGCCCTTGGCAGTAGACCCCTTGGCAGTGGAGCTCTTGGCAGTGGAGCCCTTGGCAGTGGAGCCCTTGGCAGTGGACTCCTTGGCAGTGGACCCCTTGGCAGTGGAGCCCTTGGCAGTGGACCCCTTGGCAGTGGAGCCCTTGACAGTGGAGCCCTTGGCGGTCACCTAGTTTGCCTAAGAACGGCTCTGATGCTATGAAGAATCATACGTTTGGAACAAACAACACGTTGAACAACCGTGTCCATTCGTCCAAATTAACTTTTCCTTACACCGCACACCAAAGCTGTTGTGACGCACCTTCAATTTGATCGAATTCAGATTGTCGTCAACAAAACTTCACATACTGTTGTTGTTTCATGCACACTATTGGCAGTGGCGTAGCTGGGGTCGGTGTCATCTGGTGCGGTAAACTCATGAGGTCACCCCCTTCCCCCGACGTCCAAGATGGATTTGCTATTGTTAAAATAAGTTCACAGTATAACAATGACAAGAATCAAAACAAATTAATTAAAGGTCAGGAGGTAAATGTATTTAAAAACTGTATTTAAAAATGTATATAGGAGCCAGAATGATCAATACATTGATCACGAGCCCTCAAAATATATAGAAGAAGAAGAGGTAAACACGTTAAGTTGTAGTTATTTTTAAATTAATTAAATTACTTTATTAAAAAATTTCCCTCCTTGTCTTCAAAATTGCAATTTGTCAATCGCTTGATCAAATTCAATATCCTTCACTGTATCACTTTCAACTGATAGTAGAGCCAGACCAGAAAGCCTAGACTATCGAATGGTGGATTGTAAATAGGTCTTAATAAGCCTTCTTTTTGAAAAGCTCAGCTCATCTGAAGACACAGATCGTAAGACAATAGAAGGCTTAGCGAGAGTATTGAGAGAGATTCTATGAAGTCCCATTCAGCTATGAATGTCAAAACATCAAACACTGACCAGTCTTTGAGTTTGTGCAAGTTAATATCAGCTGCTTTGAGTGTCTTCTAAGCCTAAGTATTTATTTTAGAAGTTTATCTTGTCATAACTCATCATAGAAAGATGCTAATTTGGGAACGGACACCATTACCTCTTCTTCTCTTGGTGATAGTAGACTCTTGAGTTGAACAGCCCCAAACATATCTGCTGCTTCCTTGATCACTGATGACTTGATCTGGAGTTAAGGAAGAAAGCGAGCAATGCACACCCGCATCTCCCTTCTCTTTTCTTCTCGCAGAGAGAGAGAGAGAGAGAGAGAGAGAGAGAGAGAGAGAGAGAGAGAGAGAGAGAGAGAGAGAGAGAGAGAGAGAGAGTCCAGCATGTATTAATTGTTCTCCTTTCACTCTCTTCTTATTAAACCTTTGTGTTCTCTCTACCGAAACTCCATATGGGTTTGATTTGTCAAGAGTAAAGCCTTTATTCTGCAGATACTTTTGTGGAAGATTAACTTCCTCAAGCAGATCATCCCAAAGGTAAAGGTAGCAGATGAACGTGAAATCACAGACAGCATGTACTAGACATTGTGCTGTATAACAATCGTGCTCTAATGTTAAGAGGTAGTGCTAGTGACAAATCGGCGAAAATATTTAAATTTGAGTATTTCTGGGTTTCGATAGATTTGTTTTCAAAAACATTTTTTTTAAAAAAAGGTAAATAAATTTAAATTAAGTTTTAAATATTATTGGAAAATTTTGTTAAATATTTTGTTGACCCTAAAAATGGGTAAAAATTCATTTTCAATTTTTTTAAATTTTTACCGTTCCATTGGTTGACTTAGAATCGTCCAACCATATCATATTCGGTTTCAGTGATCGTCCAACCATATCATATTCGGTTTCAGTGATCGTCCAACCATATCATATTCGGTTTCAGTGATCGTCCAACCATATCATATTCGGTTTCAGTGATCGTCCAACCATATCATATTCGGTTTCAGTGATCGTCCAACCATATCATATTCGGTTCCAGTGATCGTCCAACCATATCATATTCGGTTTCAGTGATCGTCCAACCATATCATATTCGGTTTCAGTGGAAAACTTTATTTCTCAGAATTTAGATAAATATTTCTTCCTGTCATTGATGATTTATGAAAGTTACCGAGCCCTTCAGTCGGCGTTGAGTAATGGTCATAAAGGTGTTTCTGACGCATCATTGGGATTAGTTACACAACACGTGTTGGAAATTTACGTAACCTTTTATGAAATTCCGTTAGACCGAGTGGTGTGTGCTCTGGAAATATAGGCTTTTTTTTCAATTTGGTGTCACCCCTTGGGATGGTGTCACCCATCGTGGTCCGCCCCCCTATCTACGCCACTGATTAACCCTATAAAAAATATAAAAAGTCATTTTTAAATGGTGTTTTTCTGACCCAATAATAAGGGCACCTCATTTCTGACGCATCAACATATAACTTTTAATAAAGCACGAATTGTTATTGGTTACATGTGTGGAAAATTTCTCTGTGATTGGTTATCCTTTTATGATAACCGGTTGGACCGTGCAGAGTGTCCTCTGTAAATATGCAATTTTTCAATTGGGTGTAAGCCCCTGAGATGGTGACACCCGGTGCGATCCGCACCCCGCGCCCCATAGCTACGCCACTGACTATTGGCAAACTCTACTTCTTCTGTAACTTCAAAATCACTATTGACTACACGGGCCGGATAAACCGAAGTCGTGGGCCGGATGTTGCTCGCGGGCCGTAGCTTGTTGACTCTGCTTTAAGCATTCACAACCAGAGCCGGCCTTTAGGGTGTGTGACCTGTGCCCTCGCACAGGGTGCCGTGGCATAGGGGCACCTGCGACGCCCAGTAAATATTTAATTTCCCTTAGTTTATTATGGTGAAGTGTTAACCTCGGGTCCGGGGTTCATTGTTTGTTAAAAAAACAACACACAAACAACAACATAGGTAATAAAATCATTACCGAGTAACTAGTTGTTTTCTTTTCTTTATAATGATTATACTTAAAAGGGGCGCCAAAGTTAAGCTTGCACAGGGCGCCAGCAACCGTCTGGCCGGCCCTGTCACAACTGAGCCAATTTGACATTCCTATTTCATATTTTGCTGATACCCCACTACACGAAACATCTATGTTTGTGACAGAAGATATGAATACCGTATTCATTAAATTGGGGGGGGGGAGGAGGGTGTGTGTGTGTGTGTGTGTGTGTGTGTGTGTGTGTGTGTAAAAAAAAAAAAAAAAAAAAAGAGGCAAAATTTTGTGACGTCATAATTTCACCAAAGAGGAAGTGTGTAAGGGAGACAACCACCCCAAAATGCATTAGACAGAGTTGTTGTTCCTTGATTGTTTGTGATCTAAGCGAAAGAGTGTAGTCCTGTCTAGATATTTATGTCCCAAATTCTTGTTGAAATCAAATGTCGAGAATATCGATGTTACAAGTAAGTCTTCTTTTTGTTAGTGTGATGTTCTTGTGTAAATTTAATATGTGTTGGGTTTTTTTCTTTCTCAATACATCACGTTGAGTAATGGCGCCTTTGGCTGGTCGGGGACCAGTCATTGTTTCCGTCACTATTGTGGCTAGGAGTAGGAGAGTTGTTGCAGTAGTTAACTTTCAGGATTACTTATTTGTTTCGGTGTTGTAAAGAAACGCAAGCATCCTTAATTTAATTAGAATGAAAGGCAACTAAAGCAATGGAATATTCTCTAATTATTGCCATGCCTGTAATTTTTTTCTCTCTTAAAGTTAAAATAATTTTGGAAAAGGTAGGCCCAGAAATGTTGTTTCTACTCCTACTTCTACAAAGAAGGGCATTACGAGGCACCCATGCCATGGGCCTTAGTTTACAGCTTAGAAATATTTAAAGCCAAATTCCAATAACTGGATTGATCTATCTAGTTTGATCATCAAGAAATTGTTAGTCTATTGAACGTGACTTAGACATCAATCAGACCAATCAATATAACAAATGCCTTAAATTGTCAACTGTAGCCTACTGACCCAAATTATTAATTTTACTTTTTATTTACACTTTTAGTCGTTTTTATCAACTGCAATTACAATTTTTTTAGACACCATTAATTAATACTAATTTCTATTAAAAATCAGATAGTCTATAATTATAAAATGTTATTCAAAAATCAGTTTCATGGGTGACAGTAAAATAACCCACTCAGGCCACTGTGACTGTTGCTTTGACCTAGTCATTTATGACCTTGACCTACTTTTACAATTTAAAAAAAAAATAATTAAAAGCTTTAAAAGCTTTATTTTGTAATCTGTTTATAAATGTTTTAAACTATTTTATTTTATTGACAGCATTAATATCTTAAAAACCTTGGTGATCTAAGTTTTTATATTTAAAAAAAAAACTAAAAATATTAAATTTATTTATATTCTTAATGATTACTTAAAATTTATTGAAACAAAATTGGGAGATAAGTGATAAGGATAAATTCTGAGGATTAATTAAATAAGTGTTATAAAAAACGAAGTGTCTACACGTCCGGCGCGCCGGACAAATAGTGTGGGAGATATACGTCCGGCGAGCATGTCACGTGACCGCCGGACGACTAGTAGGCATTATTATTCCGAAGAAGGCATCTTTTGAGAAGATCGTGTGTGGTCTTGTGGTAGAGTGGCCGCTTAACGATATTATATTTGTGGATCAATTTAAATTAAAAATATTTGAAATTATATTTAATCTATATTATCATGTTCATCAGCTACAGTAGTTTTATGAGAAGTTTTAAAATATTTTGTAGCAATTCAAACAATTTAAAATGAAATCTTTTACTTTTATTAGTTGCCTATGCATACTGAATACTGGCCCATAATTTATTTTATAGATTACTGGTACATAAACTCAAATAACAAACTCAAATAACAAACTAAACAAAATGTTTACAAGGCACTTTCACTTAAGTTTTTTTTCTTCTACTATTTGCATGCAAGTTACTTATTACATTACTTGGTAAAGAAATATATTTTAAAATTAACTATAGTTTTGAATCATTCACGGTAACGTGACAAGGCTGATGACAAAATATCTCTCGCCACTTTGTTACGGCGGTCATGTGACTTGGTCGCCGGACAAATACTGCGGGAGATATACATCTGTGCCGGTTACAAACCCCGAATATAATATAAATAAACATATTTAACATGAAAAACTTCAACTTTGTCGCCCTCCGATAATGTGGCCTGGTTTGTTTCCCCACATACCCCACCGTTCAAGTGGCCTAAGACAGTGTTCTTTTGAATTTTTCAGTGAAGAACAAAGAGAGGTAGGGATATATTGGACTTGTGATTAATGCAGAGGCGTAGCGAGGGTGTTTGGCGCCCGGGGACAAGATTCGCACCCGGGGACAAGATCCATTTTAAAGCGCCCTTTTTTCTTTTTTTCAACTCTCAAACCCATTATTTTCATCAATAAAATAATATCAAAGCACATTTTGGCGCCCCTAACTAGCTGGTGCCCGGGGACAACTGTCGTCCCGTCCCCCCCCCCCCCCCCCCCCCCCCCCCCCCCTCACTGCGCCTCTGGATTAATGGGGGCAAAAAGTGATATCACTTCTTGGACTCAATCAAGGTATGTGATTCACATAGAAAATTCTAAAAATTTTGGCTTTCATTTGAGTTCTTTGTTGTAAGTTTATTTGAAAAAACTGTTGGCAATACTAATAGCTGACACATCTGACTTAATACAGGTTTAAAAAATAATTTTAAAACAGGTTTAAAGACTTTGAATCACTTTAGGCACATTTCCACATTTTCTGAAAACTTTGGAGATAGTGAAACTTCAGAAAGACATTGGATGAAACAGAAATGTATAGCCTTTTGAGTTTCACAGTGCTACAAGTTTCTATCTTAAGGCATATGTGAGCAATTTTTCTAGAATATTAAATGATTTATAAAAAATCAAAGTCAGTTTCATGGTCAAATAACATTGCTGATTATGGTAGTCTTTTCTGGATATTATAATTTTGATAAATACAGATGCGTTAGTTGAGAAAAAAACATTACCAGCTGAATGGCAAAAATGAATATAACAGAGCACATCTCTTTTTTTTAAAAAATATTCTTTATTGTTCATTTTAAATTTATATAAAAACATTTCAGTATATGGGAAATAAGCTCTAATCATGTGTAATGATATATGTATATCCTCTTCTTTTTATATTTTAGGGGCCCACGATCAATTTGTTGATCATTCTGGCTCCTGGTTTAAATTCAGAGTTTGCCTTCTCTTAGATGGGTTGCTTTCCAAGGCTAACGAGCCATTTCCACCCGGGAGCTTGGGTTGTTGATCCTGGTGGGGATGGAACTCAAGACCACTAGCTATTTGGTGTGAGACAGTTTAGACTGCTCGGCCACCCAGCACCCAGTATATTCTTAATATTTTATTAGGTGTTTGATTTGTAATCATCAATGGCGTTTGTAGGTGTATTCATCACCCTGGGCTATCAAATCGTCCTTTATTAGCCCCTAGTTCCAGTGGGAATCTGCCTATAGTATAATGATATTTATTTATGCATGTTTTCTATCTTGTATTGAACATGAACTCTTTATATTCCTTGAATTTTTCTTTTTTTTCATGAGATTTCAAGTGACCTTACAAAAGATTGAATAACATTTAGAATCCATGTCTAAAGTTCATGATGTTATAAATCAATGTGTAAGGGAATGCATGAGGCTCCTACACATGTTTGTTTCTAAACATAAAAGTTCAACATTTTGAAGCTGTGAGGATAATAATGCTAAATTAATTGTTTTAAAGAAAATGTGTAATAAATTGTTATGGTGATCAGATGCAATGAATAAATTTAAAAAGAAATACCTGGAATTATTTCATCTCTTTCTTTTTCTCTGTGGATGCCACATTATGGATTGTCTGGTGATTTTATCTTGGAGTGTTCCCTATCCACCTCCATCTTTACATATTTTGTCTTCAGCAATAGGCTCCTGGTATGTCCTTTTCAGTAAGCCTTTGTTGGTGATGGTGTTTGGCCATTTGATGTTCAGGATCTTTCTAAGGCAAGTGTTTGATGAAGGTCTGTACTTTCTACGTAATGCTCACTGTTCTCCAAGTTTGGCTCCATAGAGTAGGAGTGTTTTGACATTTGTGTTGAGGATTCTGGCTACAGTTTGCAGAGTCTGCTCCTTTGACTCCCATATTTTCTTTTATAGCACAATTGCTGACCTAGCCTTTCCAATTCCAGCCCACACATCCACTTCACATCCACCATTTATGTTATTGCTGCTGACTATGTGAAGGCCTCCACTTCTTCCAGTGCATATTCTGCCAGAGAGATATGTTCTTTGGTTGAGTGAGTTTACCTTCATGATATTTATCTTGCGTTTATTTATACTGAGTCTGGGTGGTGCTGAAATAGTGGCTATGTCTTTAGTCTTTTCCTGCATTTGTTGCTGGTTGTGGGACAGAAGTGCAATGTCCTCTGCAAAGTCTAGATCATTCAGTTGTTCCCACAGTGTCTACTGTATCCCATTCCTCTTTTTGTCTGTGGATTTTTCTATTATCCAGTCAATGGCAAGAATCAATAGAAAGGGGGACAAGAGACATACTTGTCTGACTACTGTTTCCTCTTTAAAGCATCTGCAAGCCTACCTTCATGTACCACCATGCATGTTATTTCTTCATAAGAACTCAGCATGTTCCTGACTAGTTTTCCTGGTTCCCCATAGTGCGGGTGAAGTTTCCACAAGTTTTGTATGCCCAGCCTATAGGAGGAGTTCCATTCAATTGTTAGTTCTACAGTGATTCATAGTGTTGCAATTTGATCTATTTCGGCGGAAGCCAGCCTGTTCATCTCGTAGCAGCGTGTCGACCTGGTCCTTCATTGTATTCAAAATAATTCTGTTAAAGACCTTTCCCGGTACAGACAACAGTGTAATTCCTCTGTAGTTGACACAGTTGCTGAGATCCCCTTTCTTTTGTATCTTGATGAGGTATCCTTCTTTCCAATCTTTTGGAACTCTCGCTTCTTCCCATATCTTTTCAAACATAGGATGCAGCATGTTGACTATTGTATCTATAACTGCTCTCATCTCTGTCCCGATGCCTTCCCTATTTGGAGCTACTTCATAGCAGGGGCTATTTCTTACATTTGTAAGTCTTCATTTGCTGGTTGACGTTGTATATCAGGTATGTCTGTTGGCGGACGTCTGGTTAGTAATTCTTTCAAGTATTCCACCCATAATTTTTGTTGGTCTTTCTATTCCTTTATTGATCTACCTTCTTTATCTTTAACAGGTCTCTGGAACCTTTTTTATCTTCTTGGGAGCTTTCTTGTTATGCCATAGAGCTCTTTCAAGTTGCCCTTCTTGGCTGCTTCTTCTGCTGTTGATGCTAGACCATCTATGTTAGCTCAATTATCCTTTTGATGCTGTTCTTTACCCTTCGATTCACTTCTTTATATTTCTCTTGTGCTCTTGTTTTCTCTGCCCGGGTTAACTACACTCTTCAATTATTTTTCTTTCTTTTCTTGTTAATGAACAGCTAATATTATTTATACTACGTTGGGGGATGAAATTGATAAAAAGTGTATAGGCCTATGCCGACTATTACTTCACTTGCATTTTCATAGCTCCCAATATTGTGTAAATATAATAATGGCTTTTAAATATCCTATCATTGAAATTTTTTATCTACAACACACACAGATGTCAAATTTCATGCTCTTCAGGATGAAATATATTATCATAGGTAGTTCCAAATGCATTGTTGACATTCTTTAGCAATATTTTCTAAGAATAAAGATGTCCCTATTATCTAATGTAATAAAATATTCATCTATATATATATAAAAATGAATGTATGTATGTCCTGTGTGTACTCCTATACCATTCATCCGATTGCCATAAAACTTTGGTGAGTTGTTGTCCGCACGCCAGAAAATGCTTCCAAATAAGTACAACCATTTCACAATATTCCATTTTGTTTTTCTTATATGAGTTATATAAATATAATTTAAAATAGAGCTAATGCATAGTTGGATGTAATTTAATCAAATATAATTAGCTAAATTTCAGTTTGTGTGACATAATAAGTAGGTTTCCAAATTCGTACAATCATTTTAAAATTTGGGGCTGGGGGCCTTAAATTCATTTATTTTTTAATTATATGAGCATTATAAATAACATTCAAATAGAGCTATTGTATGGGTGGATCAATTGCTACAAGTGTGTGAACTAAATTTTGAAAATCCATGCTTCTCACATGGACAGCTGTATGTGGCCTGCTTACACATGGAAAAACCTTCTAATTTATTGGTGTACGCACTAGACAGATAAACCCCAAAAAATACTGTCTATATAAAAATTAATTTAAAAAACATAATTAAAACACAAACACTTTCTTTCTTTGAGTGGCATTGTATCGCATGCCTGGTACTCGGTAGTACATTATAAAAGGATGCTGTTTAAGAAATTTCATTTGAAATGGCAAGTAAATATTTTATTATTCTTAAAATCAAAAATTAAACCCATTCATTTATAAAAATTATAATACAACTCAGAAAAGCATAGAATGCTGCAACACTTGAAAACTTGTCTTCTCGTATTTACTACTTCCTTGGGCTGTAATAGATGATTTTAATCAAAATATGAATCGGTATCACTTGATTCTGGTTCTCAATTATCTTCCTCAGGAGATTCAAATAGAAATTGATATTTTCACCAGTAATATTCATTTTCATAGCGATTGCACTGCGCCATCGATTAGCATCTAACAAAAATGTTCCTACAATGGCGACTCTTGCTTCAGCATGTCACATGTTTCTTGAACTCGCTAAACATCAAATTTATTAAATAGTTTTCTGCCAATAGTACGATTAAATAAATATAGAATAATTTAAAAAATAAGGACACATTTTTATTAGCCGAAATAGCCTGCGTATATAAAGTTACTCTTTCTATATAAGAGGAATTGAGAGAGTTAAACTCGATTTTCTGTTAGACATATCGATAAGATACTTTAAGTGTGATTTGTATTGGTGACTGTAAGTGTAATTTAAATTGATTTTCACTCAATCAGTTAGTCATACAAATACTTAAATGGTTCTAATTTGCTCTTAAAGTTCCTTCCATATGGTATAGATCTAACAGTTTAATTTTTTTTGTTTCAATTTCTACCACTAAGGCAGAATGGCTTCTCAAGGGATGCAGTAAAGTTCACCTAACAGTCCTGTCCTGTGTGTCAGCCGGCAGAGTATGATGGACCATGGCAAGAAGCTGCCACCAATAACACTAAGTAATACCACAATTGTAAGTATGAGTGGAAATTATGTATGGTTAACACTTGGTAATGCCACAATCTATTATTGTTAAGTATAGGTGGGATTTATGGTGTGGTCCAAGGATTCTGCACTATGTGACAAACAGTTTTTATTCTGGTGGTGCTGGATACTTATAATGGCTTTGCTGGAGAAAACTTTAGGTGCATATTCCAGTTATTTTATGTAATTGTGCAATCTGGTTCAATTCAAGAGGTAATAAACAATTATTTTCCCCAGGTATATAATGTGTTATCAAATAGATGAAGTAATCAGTTTTGTCCAGCTTATAATATTGTTGCTTTGCGTAAATAAGTTTCCTTAGATGCTAGCATATTATCAAAACATCCCTTCATTTTCATTCATCATTGTCCCTACAGTGAATCACTCAATTTGTGAGACACTCTGGGCAAATGTCAGGGGAATTTTCTGGTGGATAACCATGCCATCCCATAAACACCATACATCATTGAAACTATAAACAATACAATGCTTTTAATTTTTAGAACATTTCTTTTTAAAAATTAAATAAAAATTGTATTTAAAAAAAATTTTCAACATGTACTTCTTGATGCTATGTTTACTCATGAATAAGATATACTAATGATATAAGAAATTGTGGAGACATTAGTATCAAATATTTTATTCAATGGCCAGCTAATAATCATATTGTTTTATGTTGCACTCTATTTTATTTTATAAATTAAACTGATTGTATGATAAGGAATGCAAGAAGCTAATATTTGTTGTAATCTTTACACAGTCTTACCTGGTAACTTTCATTCCTCTACTGGTGTCCATGACCACACATGGAGATGTGCCTAGGTATGATGATGAGAGGGATAAACCTGCTTGGTGGCCTAAAGATATTCAATGGAGAAATCCAAAATCTTACACGAAGGGTAAAAACAAGGTAAAAATAATAGTTACTTGGGCAGCAATTTATAAGTACTTTTAGAACAGTGGTTCTCAAAACAAAATGTGACTATCACCCAGTCATTTTTAGCACCCTCCTGTCTTACCTCTTTATAGGAATTATCAGAATAATAATTCGAGATAGTTGAAGATAGTTACACCATTAAAATGTACAAGCCAAATATATTTGAGCATTGAATATACTTAATTTGATAATAACCTGACTAATATGATGAACCCTTTCAGTACCATGGCGTCCAATTAAAAATTAAATTCAGTACCAAGCAAAGGGAAATAACTCCATTTTTACTATAAATTGCTTGCTGCCTTAAATAATTTATTGAACATTAATCTTCTTCCCATCGTTAAAAAAAAATTACTAATTGTAGCGAAAAGGTGACATTTTTAAGTCTACATTAGGACCATTATTTTATGTCGAGTGAATGCAGTCGGTTAGACCAGTCAGATCTATCAACATCGGGTAATAAGGGGAGAGACTGCAATCAGGTTAGTACAAAACTCATTTTATTCTATCAACATCGGCTTGATGTTTTGATCTATCTGAGTGTAAAATCAAGCTCACAGTCAGTCACCAAACCCCAACAAAACAAGAGGTTGACATTATCCTTTTTAGGGCCCAATTTGGCGTAATGAGTCATAAAAACATATCGCGACTGAAAGGGTTAAGCAATACCTTTATTTGCTTTGACAGAATCTATACTGCAGTCCTAAAATTCCACAAGGTGGGCAGTACAAAAAAGAGCTTTATAACCACCTTCCATGGTACATTACATTGATAGAGGAGCTTTATAACCACCTTCCATGGTGCATTACATTGATAGAAGAGCTTCATAACCACCTTCCATGGTGCATTACATTGATAGAGGAGCTTCATAACCACCTTCCATGGTGCATTACATTGATAGAGGAGTTCATAACCACCTTCCATGGTGCATTACATTGATAGAAGAGCTTTATAACCACCTTCCTTGGTGCATTACATTGATAGAGGAGTTCATAACCACCTTCCATGGAGCATGACATTGATAGAAGAGCTTCATAACCACCTTCCATGGTGCATTACATTGATAGAGGAGCTTCATAACCACCTTCCATGGTGCATTACATTGATAGAAGAGCTTCATAGCCACCTTCCTTGGTGCATTACATTGATAGAGGAGCTTCATAACCTCCTTCCATTGGTGCATTACATTGATAGAAGATTTCCATCTTGAGCTAAAACTCTTGGTACTATTTTTTAAAACCAAGCGTCTGCACATTGCCAATATCAGTTGACTATTACTAGTGTTGTCGGCACAAATGCCTTTTCTCTTTCCTCTGTATTTTCTCAGACTTGCCTGCTTATCATCAACCTTAATTTCATGCCAAAAATCAAGTAGTAAAATGTATAATTTAAAATGTCTAATTTTATCTTTAAAAAACGATTTCTAACAAAAATTTTCAAGTTCCCCCTAAAAGTTCAAAAACTTTTCCGCAACCCCCCCCCCCCCCCCAAACTTTAAAAAAATCAATGTAAAATGTATGAGGCTGTAATGCTAAAGTGACAAGTTAATTCAGTTTTTTCTATTTCCTTGGCATCTCAGGATTGTCTCCAAGTATTACGTAAACTGGTCCACAGCTGCTACTCCTATCATGGGGTAGAGGAGCTTTTGTGTCGTCTAGATGAAGTACCAGAGGAATCAGAGGTGAGAGTTGTATTTGGAAGCTGTAATATCTATAAGTCACCTGTTGCCTGGTACTATGATCGGTTTGTCACCTAAGTTAGACTCAGGGTTGCACAGAATGTCTGTGACACTGTGGAGTTTGTGCTGTGAAGACTTCTACAGTGTGATAGAATGTAACCAACTTTGGGGGGGGGGGGGGGGGTTGTTTGTTATATTTCAAACAAAATGAACATGTTTTCTATTGTTTACTTCAGGCTCAGATTATGGGAAAGGATTTGTGTGATAAGTTTTTCTAATGCATAAAAAATTCACTTGTGAAACATCTGGTGCATTCAAATGTGGGTTGTCAACAGTTAAGATCAAATGCATACTTATTTACTCTTATGATTTTGGAGTACCGTACAATGTACGATTTTGAGATGACTTATACCATTGTTTGCAAGACCGTTTTTTAAAATAAATTTATCAGGGTGGTTTTTACAATTTAAAAAAAATTATCAGTTGTGTTAGTTTTAGCTCGTTTCTACACCCGGTGGTAAATGGACAGAAAAAAGATTTGCTGGGGACCATCCATAATTATATTACTTATGCGCTGACAGAGGAAAGGGGTGGTGTTGACTCGGAAGCGTGTGAGTGCATGGGAGGGGTAGGAAGAGGTGTCCAAATATTTTTTAAGGCTACAAATAAGCACCACTTTTCATGTTCATCATATTGTTGCTTTGTGTTTTCACAATGAACTTGATAGATACGGCAACAATAATATTTAGCGTATTCACCTCAGTGACAAATTTAGTAAACATTTACCTTTTTTTCTGTGCTGTATGATGTAATTCTGTGTATATAATTTTTTTGACATAATTATTTCATTTCTTGGCTGAACAGCGACAAATGTAAAAAATTGAGAAAACTATGGATTTTTAAAAAATGCATTCTCAACTGCACTTCACAGCAGTCATCTGTTTGACATAGTTTATAAGATTATGTAAGCGCATTTGAAATCTATTTTTAGAAGTCACTAAGCAGCGTTACAATTTTAATACACCAACACTCCCCTTCTCTTCTCTCAATAAAGCTTGCGGTAGTTATTAGACCACAATATGTTAACGGAAAATAAAATCAGGCTCCTAGGCTAAATACAGGGTTGGGCTAGCCTGGTTAAATATTGTGGCCCGTCAGACGTATCACTAATGTACTTATTTCTTCATTTAATTAGTGATTATTTTTATTTTAGTCAAAAATCACATTTGAAATATATATGCTTAATTTTTTGTGACCAGTACGCGCCATTTTGTTATACCCGCCCCTTTTTGGACAGATTTTAAAAAATAGATTGAAAGAAGTAATAAATTATAAAAACAATTGAACTACTAAAATAAAAAGGATTTATATAAACACAGCTAGGTAAGAGGAACCTAAATTTCCACAAGCACTACAATTAAGTGTAGAATGATGAACAAATGTATTCACATATATTCAAAAGGGAATCCCTGTATTTTAAATTAATAAAAAAAATTCTGGTCAAGGTCTCAGCCTACTCCCCAAAGCCCACACCCACTTTTGCTCGGGTGACTTCGCCACTCCCCCACCTCATCTTGGTCTATCAACGTGGAAAATGAGGGACACCCTTTTATTTGCAATAATGCAGTGTATATAAATAAATATAGTTGTCTTGATATATCGCTTGTGTGCTTATAACAATAGGCAATATATGGCCTGTGTGGTTATCACAATAGGTAATAAATGGCTTGTGGACTTGTAACACAAGGTTATATATGGCCAATGGTCTAATAACAATATGTAAATTAAGGCAATAGTCTAATAACAAAAGGTAATATATTACCAATAGTCTAATAGCAATAAGTAATAAATGGCCAATGGTCTAATAACAATAGTTAATAAATGGCCAATGGTCTAATAATAAGGAATATTGTTTAATGGTATAATAACAATAGTAATATACGGACAATAGTCTAATAGCAATAGGTAATATATGGTTAAGAACTGCGTTCAAACTTTGTGAAAGAAATCATTGAACAAAGAATTTTGAAACTTGAAGTGAAAGAACAGGAGACAATAAAAAGAGAACTTATCAACTGAAATCCTTCGTCAGCAGACAAGGCAAAATAAGAAACTACAAAGAAATGGAAAAAGAGTTAAAAAAACTAAAGTTGCCTGTGTTGTAGAATAATGATAGATTCGGAAGTGCTGTATTATTGATGGAAGTAGGGTTGTCCAAAACTGAAACATCTGTGCTATGCAAAAGATTACAGGAAGTAAAATAATTAAGTGTGTTTATTAATGTCATTAATGCAGAATTTAAGATTTTAAAGTGCAAAGAAATATATTAAAAATACATAAAAATGATAAGGAATATGAAAAGAATATAGTTAAATCGAGTATTTGGTTGATTCCTTATGGTGATGTGGTAACTAAAATCTAAATACTGTATTTATCGGCTTATAACACGCACTTTTTCTCCCTGAAAATAGGGGGCAAATGATGTGTGGGCTTTCAACACTTCCTAATTTATGGCCATTGTTTTAATAACAAATGGTAATCTTTGGCCAACAGACTAATAACAAAAAGTAATATATGGCCAATGTTCTAATAACAAAAGGTAATATATAAACATAACATGGCTCTTGGGCTAATCCCACTCTTAATCCAGTATTTAATGTTTCCTTTGAGCACAGCAACAAGAGACTATAGAAATAATTGAGCTGTCAGATAACGAGGATGGTGTGGAGGAATCATCTGGGGGTAAGTTCAGTTCTTTCGACAATATCGAGATCACCATCAATGTAAGTGTCATCAGTCAACTTTCAGTTGGCTTGTAAGAGAAGTGATAAGATGATTCATTTTCTTCAAGTTCAAATAAACAATTTTTTTTTAATTTGAATATAACCTTTTTTAAATGCTGAAAATGAAATGCAAAATGCAATCAAACCAATTTTCCACTTGGATCCATTAAAGAATCTGAAATACTCTTTAAAGAAAAGTCTTAAGTTGAATTTTTTTAATATTTGCTTTTTATATTATTTTTGTAAGTTAACTTTTTTGAAGGGTGAAGTGTGTGTGCAATCTGACAACGTTTGTCTTGTGTTTCAGAGAGTGAAGGGCCTGTCTTTGTATGCTGCTTCTGTCTGGAACAATTCAGCAGCCACGAAGCTGTCCACAGCCATCAAAACACATGTAAGAACAGATCAAGAGACTCGGGGGATGAGCCGCAGTTTTCAGACTGGAAGCAGTCCAGCACTCTGCCACCTGATCAACTTTATATTGATTCTTTTTTGGATCAACCACCGGCCAGTGAAACTGAAGGCGATTCTCCGTCATTATCTTCCCATGTCAGCAGGCTGGACGATTCCTTCCTAACACAAGCCCCCAAAAATCCACAGAGTCATCTCAGCGCGTCATCTGTTCCACCAAACCAAGTCAAAAAAGGTGCTCCAGCCTGCCCCCAGCCTTTTGTTCCAACACTCAAAACTCGCAGTCAGAAAAAGCTGGATCAGATCATGGAAAAACACAATCAGAGGCAGATGATGATGAAAGAGTGTAGAGAGATGAGGGAAGTACCTGAAACTGGAGCATGGTGGGTCAGTAGGACAAGGAGACATCGAGGTCAGAGCAGCCAGCATCCTGGCACCTACTTGTCAAAGGAGGCTTTTCTTGCAGCCATGGGTATGATCAGGAAGGCAGAAGTACAGATGACCTCTAACTGCGGTCCCAAACCAGAACAGGAGGTGGACTTGGACTGTGAGATTGTCAATGTGGAGGGCCCTTTAAGCGCAGTTCCACCTGCACCTTTTGAAAAATCTGCAACAGCTTGCCCTCGCTCAGCCAGGTCGCTGATGTCTCAGCTCAGCAGGGGCAACGAAGTGTCGTCCCGAACAAGGAGACTCAGCTTTTGTTTTGTGGAGGATGAGTGGGCGGACAAGGAGGCACTGGAGGAAGGCAGGGACCCGCTCCACGTTTCTCTGTTGACTTTAGATGTCTCATCTCCCTTGGGCCAGCGCATAAAGAAATATGTCAAAGGTGAAGGACATATGAACATCATCAAAGATGTGGAGAGCTATTGCAGGACAGAGATTGATGAAGACAGCTACAGCAAGCTACGGTTTAGGGCCAGTGATTTTAGAGTGACCTTTCGGAAGAAAAGAAGGGCAACAACCTACGTGCATAAATACAAGTTCAACAGCAGTGATAGGTTGGAGTTTAAAACTTACCTCCGAACAGGCCTGAGTCCCAGAAGTCGTCAGTTGCAACATTGCTTGCCCAAATGTCATATTGTGCTGAAAGAGCTGACAAAAAGTGAAATAAAACATTGGACAGAGGAGAAGAAGATCAGAATAACTGAGAACATTGTGTACGATGATGATATCTGCATCACTCAGATTGATATACCTGAATCCAAATTATGCCAGCGATTTTCTCAAGAAAAAAATGGTATTCCTGTTGACATGTACACATCAAGTCAGAGCCCATCTAGTTTCTTGCAGAACTCTTCTCATCGCCCCAAGCCTGTTAACAGTCGGCCGGCGTTTGCATCACATATGCCCTCGTCGCCTCCCCATGTTCCAAACATATTTCGAAATAGGCTGTCTCACACACCTTCACCCCCGAGACTAGTACCTAACACTCTTCCTTCCAGACCAAAACTGTCCAATGGTCTTCATTTCAATGAAAACAAGTTTGTAAATAGAAGAGATGGTCTTGGAGTTGGGTCACCACTCAGACAGCCCATTTCTACACACAGCAGGATAGCAGAGAACTCGATGAGCAAAGCTCAGCATCTTAGCAGGCACCCCTTACAGTCTCCCTCGGTGTACTCCTCAGCTGGCCTGCCTGTCAATGAGAGGCGGTCAACAGGTTTAAGCATAACTGGTCAAAACAGACTTGCTGGGCCCAGCAGCAGACGAAAGCAGCTGATGACATATGTCAGGAGAGATGAATGTGAAGGGGGTGCGGGGCAGCTAGTTAGTAATTCCAGTTTTGGATATATTCCCTTAGGGGGTGACAGCAATCACCCTGGGACTAATAACAACCACCTGAGCATGAATAGCAACCATCTGAGCATGAACAACAACCACCTAAGCATGAACAATACAGACCTGCCTGTCAAAAATAGCACACTTGAACAAAAAAAGAATGGTACCCATGTAAAAAATGTCAGGAGACTTTCTAACTTTGACTATTTTAGAATTCGAGATAGCAAAATTAGTTCAGGTCAGTCTGCAGTGAACCCGTCGGTCTTACAGAGCCCTACTGGGCCTGCTGTGACATTCAATCATTCCCCACAAAACCATCGTCACTCCCAAACAGCAGCCGGCTTGGCTAATCAAAGAGCTTTGCAGGCTAAAACTGATCAGGTCAGAACTAACTCACTACCACAGCACAGGCCCAAATCCAACGATAGCAACGGTCCTCACACTAGAGACTCGTCTGCTCCTAGTCAACAAAACGCTGCGTCCAATGGTTCTAAACCCGTCAACCCGAGATTCAACCATGTCCAAGAAGTCATTGGGAAGTCCCCTTGTTTGATGGAGCACTTTAACAACACAGTTTCTGTACCATCCTCAATGAGACAAGTGACCACCATCATGAGTCTGTGCCCCAATCCCAATGAGGATGGAGAAGATGAGGTGATGGAGATTATATGCATTGATGACGACTAAATTTGGGCGGGGGAAACGTTGTTGTGGTTGGTGATGGCCAACTCTTTGAGAGTTGTTGTGGTTGGTGGTGGCCAACTCTTGGAGAGCAGATGTTGTTGCTGTCACTTTTAACATAAAAATAATTCCATGGTATTAACGGGTACAATAATGATCATTGATTTTCATGTATTGAAATATGATAATATAATGGAGACTTGGTGGGCTGTAGTAAACATTCTTGCCTAGAAATGATTGCTATTTAAAATTATGTGGATTAAAAAGAGTTTCAATTGTTGTTAGTGTTTCAGTTGTATGATTACAGAATAGTTTTTTCCCGCTCATCATTGTGTATGACTATACTTATACATAGAGAAATATAAAATAAGATTCTTGTTCCCAATAGTCTTCAGCCTAACGGTATAGGTCTTGGTAGTGCCTCAATCAGGGCTGCAGCCAGGGGCAACCATGTTTTATTTCAAATGCCATTACCACTCACTAGCTGTATAGTCATTTAACATGTTTAGAGTTTTTAAATGTGCAAAACGCTTGACATAATCACTGAAGTCTTAGTGATTACTTGAATATTTTATTTAAATTTTTGTTACTCAAATTTATTTCATTTAAGATGTACTAAAGCAAGTTTCACTATGGGAAAATGTTTTTAAAAATTAAGCCACTGTCATTCTGAATTGGTGACGTTATTAATTTTGTTGTTGTTGTTATGCTTGTGGGAAGAGAAGGCTACAGCCATGTTGCTAATCGTTATAAAAGAGGATCTAATAAAGCATCATTGAGATGTTTATGTCTAACAACACGTAACTGTTGGTGACAACACACACAGCTGCAACTGTAAGTAAAATATGCAAACTTGATGTCTTTTCCAGCTGTTTGGAAATAAAACAGCTAAATTGAGCTGACCTTCACTGAGAGTTAAGGACTAACAGGACGGAGATAATCTCTCTGATTCGTTTTCATTCTGCACTCAAATTTTCCCATTACCTGAGATAGTGCTTTACAAGAAGTCTTAGACCAAATGATATCATTAATCCAGTGGGAAGCCCTACAAACCCACAAGCCCTAAAGGGCCATCCATATAGTAAAACTAAGGGGGAAGGGAGGTGGTGTGTCCATTTTTAGAGATGTGGTATCCAGGGAATTCCATAAATAGCATATATTTATACATAATTATATATATCTCATATAAGGTTGTAAAAATATGCAAATTATTGTAGGAATGAACGTTATAATGCTGCCTTGCATTTTCAAAAGTGAACTTGCTAAATATCACTCTAGTAGAAGTAATGGTGATATTTATGCTGCCGTATGTGCCAGGAGCTTGAGATGTATTTTCTTCAGGTACGCCAGTGGTTCTTAAACTTGTATGATTCCCTGCGCCCTTGCCAAATTTAGGTTGTTAAATACTTACAAGTACACTTTGAAATAGTGAAAACATAAAAGAAAGGGTTAGTTAAAAATGAATAAAAGGCATAAGTATGTCACTAAGCATCATCGAGTAACTGCAAAGTTATGTGTACGGTACTTACGTGAGTTACTGTTGTCACACATATTTTGCAACCCAAGACGGTGCCATGCCAAGGGGTGAATTCTGAAAATGGAGTTCCTCTACCTGGTACATAAAAAGATGATATTTGACACCCCATGTCTTTGTGAAGTACCGGTACATGGGACTTTATAGTTTATCTATACAGGTCTTATTTGTCTGGGTCGAGTGCACCCTTCTTATGACCCTGCTGGGCGACACGGCGCATATTTTGGGAACCTCTTGGCTCACCAGACAGCATCAAAAACCTGTGACACATTTTTTTTGCTGTGATGTCTATAAATAAATTGATTGGGGTTTTTTTTGGTGGGGGGTTAAAAGCTCATTGTACCCACTCATAAGGGAGGGGCTGTTAAAAATGAACACATGCAACTGGGGGAGGGGTTAGATAATGTGCCTTTTTTTTTTTTTTTCTTTTTTTTTTTTTTTTTTTTTTTTTTTTTTTTTTTTTTTTTTTTTTTTTTTTTTTTTTTTTTTTTTTTTTTTTTTTTGCTTTTGTATTATATGGATGGCCCCTTAACAAACACTCGATGGCAAACTTGACAAATTTATGGTTGAGTTGTTCATCCCCAATGCCATTTACCTTTGAGATATTTGATAGGGAAATCAGAAAAATTTATACTAATAGGCCATAAATTATTGCCAAAGTACATACACTCAGTGATGTTGGCTTCCCACCTCAGAACATACTGAGTTTTGAATGTTTACCATTCGAGCCCAACCTCCTGGTCATGTAGTTGAATTTTGACCTATGTACTGTCCAAATCAAACATTTAATCTTGTTTCTATGATTACTAATTTAACATAAAGGAGCACAGCCTTGACACTGTTTCTAAAGCTATTTGCCTCAGGGTTAGTTATCTCACCAAAAAGCATTAACTTAAACTTTTTTTGGTCAATCTGCATCAAAACACTTACCATACATCCTGGTAAGTGCTGAAAGTTTTGCATTGTTAAATTGATAATGATACTGATATTAGTGATAGGTGGTATTTACGGTAACTGAGTAATTATTTTTTGTTTATTACTTATACATTATAGTTTACACAGTAGTATTATTGTTATCAACATTTTTTTTTTCACTTTTCAAAAGTGTGATCAGATATGATTTCAAGTTCTCTAATTGAGTTGACATAAAATTCTAAGGCTATTTTAAATGGACTGGATGGAGACATTCTTTAATTTGTGTGTCTATTTTATATATCCCAATGGTAAATCAAGAAAGAAAATGTAGGGTGAGAGAGAGAGAACAAAAAAAAAGGGGGGGGGGGGTTGGGCATAAGAATTGAAAAGTTGGAAAAAATGGGGGGACGGGGGACAAAAAAAAAAAAAAAGTGGGTTTTTTATTTCCTCATTTTCTGAAACTGGAAAGGATATGAATGCAAGACTAGTAGAAAAAAAAAAAAGGGGGGGGGGGTTTGGCATCAGAATTGACAAGTTGGCACAAATGGTGGTACTGGGTACAAATAAAACAAAATAGTGGGTTTTTTATTTCCTCATTTTCTGACACTGGGAAGGATATTAATGCCAGACTAGCAAAAATGATCATATTTCATTATTTTATTATAATTGGAATCCCTACATGGGAGGTCCCCTTGTTTAAATCCCTAAATGGTCTCAGAGAGAAATAATTTGTCAAGACTTTTGCTGAACCCAATTGGTTAATTGCTCTGAATATTTGTATTACTGTATAGAATGAAATTTTTTATGTCTAAAATATTCTGTGTAGGATTCAGTTTTTATGAATGTCATTTGGTCGAGGCAACTGCCTTGTAAATCAAACACAAAAGTTACACTCAGAGGGTCTCCCAAAATAAGCCTGGAATTAAATATTTCAATATGACCAAAGTGGATCCTTATAGACCAAGGTATACACTGAGATTAAATACTGTAAATATAATATTGTTGTTCAGGGTATGAATGTCTATTCTGCTCTATATCTTATGATTTCCAGAGTCAAAATCCAAGACAAAGTTTACATTGTTTTTTTTGGGGGGTATTATTTAGGATTAAATTTGTTGATCTTTTCATTTAAAATTAATTTTTGTTTCATGAAATAAAATCAAGTTAAAAAAAAAAAAAAGCTTATGACAAATTGCTTTGTCAGATATGATTTACTAATGGACATATCGCTGGATAATTGGGTCAAAATCCAAGATTTAAAAAATAGCTTTAGGGGGATTTTAAAAATAATATATAGAAAACGGTGTTCAATGAAAATTATTCAAAAGATTACATAAAAAGCAATCTGAATGTCATTAAGTCTAAGTGCAGCTTGTTGTTTCTTTTGTAATAAATTCTTAGATGCTTCCTTTTTTTTTTTTACGGTTTGAAACTGAAATGTATTGATTCAAAGACTTTATACTATTAATTATTATAAACCTTTATTATTTCTTTTATTATTTAAACACTAATTTTCTATCACAATTATTTAATTGATATCGGCATACGTATTAAGTAAATAAGTTGTATATTTCAATGACTTACGGCATTGTTTCATTAATTATTTTTTTTTACTTGAGAATTTGCCAGTTCTACAAATAAGTTCTCTTTCCATGAATAGAGATATAGTTGTATGCTATACGACTGGGCTTTTTTTTTTCCTCTGCTTAAAAAATTGTTTTTTTTCCCATTTAAGTCATCTCAATGTGATACATGATTTTTATTTGAAAGGCTAACTGGAGTGTGACTGATGCCAAAAATATCTTGTAAAGCATGTTAGACAATAATGCTTTACGACCACATACCAACTCTGTTGCTTGTGTCAATGTTTTCTAAATTTGATTGCTTCCGTTGGTGTACTGGAACATTGATAGCAGTCAATGTTTGCTCCAAGCTCACTCATTACTGCAATGCTATAGGATATTTCATTGTTAAATTTCATGATTTCCTGCAATTCATTCTTTGGCATTGTTTGATACTCATGCATTCAGAAATTATTTGTAATAAATTAATTGATCGATAAGCCAACTTGTCCTCAACGATATTTTTTTTTGTAACAAGTGCATGGACTAAAAACATAAATTTCTATGAAATTATTAATATTTTTGTTAGTTTACTGATTCAGTTGGCAACCTCACTGGGGGTCACAACACATGGCTTGGGCAACAGGGACTTCTATATTATCTATATAGTTTCATTTTCATCCTGCATAAAACTAAAATACTTAAATGACACATTGATGTAAAGCGACTGTTTTAATTGTAAATTTTAATTTTAATGAATTTTCAAGTGGAATACATTCCTTAAAAACAAAGAGTATAAAAAAAGACACATTTCTGTACAACACTGCCGTTTCAATCATTTTTTTTAGAACAAAAAGATTCACTTTGTATATTTAAATTTAAAATATATTCATTTATTATTATTTTTAAAAAAAGAAACGAGGTATAACTAAATAAAAATGCAGATACAAAAGCTATTTAATACCATGATTAATATTTACAGGCAAAGTTAAGACATTTCTTGTAATACTTTAAACATAATATTAAAATAAATCAAGTATACAGTTTTTAAATAATTTTTTGGGGAAGATCAAATTAAATAAATTTAAAAACATTTTATAAAAATAATTATTTCTTAATTTAAAAAAACATAGTTGCATACAGTAAAACTGAACACAACAGCTAATTATTTGACAATCATTCTTTTGGTCATCTTAAACAGCAGGAGAAATATACAAAAGAAAAAGACAATCAAGAATATTCATTTTAAACAATTTACAGAACTAAAAAAATTTGATTGAATGGAAAATTTGGATATACTGATATAAACAATGCATCTTTGTGTGAAGATTGAGAGAAAACTTAAGCATGATTTCAGGAAAGTGAGTAACTTTTACAATACCAGTTACCCATAATACACTATAGACTCTGTGATTATGCTTTACAAAGCTGTTATGTTTCTTCTTTCACAGCTGTCAAAATTTGTATCCATTTCATTATTTTTAACCCTAGCATTTATGTTTCTGTGTCTTTAGCATTTTCGATACAGTATAATTATTCATAATGGTAACACACATAAATTATAAGACTTAATTAGGATATTTTATTATATACTGGTTAAGTGTGCTTATGCATGTCCACCCCATTAAAATTTCAAACCAAGAATAGATTACTATTGTCTGATCCAATGCCTGTCTTAGTCTTACATATAAATAGTTCCAGTACCGGGTACAAACATTCAAGTAAATGAGCTGGAAAATTGCACACATTTCAATGTCATTTTAAGACTAGAATAACTTTCAAAAACAAAAAAATTATTTTCCATACTAGATTGGTCTTTTATAAACCAATGAAGGCTGTGAATGTTATTTGTTCAATAGCAATCGATTCCAACAGATATATTTATATGGTGATGCTAATTATCCATTCAAAAATTTCTTAAAAGTAAGTTAGCGCTTTGTAACTTAAATCAAATAATACTACTTTTTTTTTTAAATTTCCGTCAAAAGTTCATACCGGTACCCCTAGATAGAAATTGAAATTAATTCCCTTAAGATTTTTCAACAAAACATTACATTTCATGAGCTTAGCCTTTAAATTAGACTTAGTAAACTAATACATTCCTAAGTTAGGCTGTTGTCTTATCCATCAGCCATAATTTATGTACTTGGTATGTTTCCGTTTGATTAGAAAAAATATTCACCAAAAAATGAATAGCATTCATTTTTAAATTTCCATTTATCATGTAATATTTGTTGACAAATAAACAAGATATTTTAATTCAAATAAATGTACCGGTATCTTTTTAATTATAATTTATCTATTTTTTAGACTTGCCCCAATCAAATTCTTACTTTAATTATTTAACATCATATTTAAACAAAGTAAAAGACCTTAGCAAAAGCAAATGCTTTTAAAAAATTAAACATTATCACAGTCACAACATTACGGTAAACAAAATTATTGTTTAAAATTCAAGCATAGTGGATAAGGCTTTTCAACAGATTGTTATTGTTACATAAAAATATATAATTATAATCAAATGTTTACAACAATTTACAATCAAATCATTACAAATCAGCAGATTTTTTACCACATTGGATTTTAGTGTTTACATCAGTGGTTCTCAAAAAGGACCATGGGATTGCCCAGGCAGGCGCTTTGAAGATTTAGGGGTCAATGAGATTACCAAAGTGGGCACTTATGACTATTATAATGAATACCGGTACCCGACACCCAATGCATTACCTTAAAAAATATAAAATAATATTGTTTGGAGAAGTATGAGATACTGTTTTGACTCTCAGCATCAAATAAGAAATGAGGGTAGATATCACTCAAATATTAAATGATTGTGTTAGACACAAGGAAAGAACAAAATTTGATCTTGTTTTCATACAGAAATTGAGAAATACCAGCTTTAAATAATAACAATATATGCAAACTGACATTAGTACCAGTAGGTGTAAATATGGACTTTACAAATTATTAGCAAAAATGTTCAATTTAATTAGAAGATCCATCTCATTAGAACCAAATCTGACTTTTGAATTAGATAAAGTAAAAAAAAAGTACTTTGTTTCATTATTAATTACGGTAATGTACCAGTACCGGCATTCAAAAAAATCTTTACGTTTTTTGTGTTACTTTCCTTAGAGTTAGAGGGTCTTGCTAACTACGGTACTGGTACTATTTAAAGAATGCTTTTGACAGTATAAGACTAAGGATAAGTTTATGGAACATAGGGGGGCATCGGGACACATAAAAAATCGATAACCAGTAATTTACTGTAATTTACATCATTTAAAAACATGTCAAATTTGTTTAAGTAACTTCCTATGGGAATACCCATCCTTAACACTATACAAAATAAATCCTAAAATTTAATTTTTCCAGCAATTTTATGTGGATTGTTAAGTCAAGATGCCCCAAAACAAATATTTATACCATTGAAAATTTACTATAAATTTGTTCCAACTGTTAACTGTTAAACCTGGACAGCAGAAAAATTAAACAATCACAACAATAAAGTTAAACTACCGATTTCCCGCCACAGCAGCTTCATAGGGTGGTGGAGGGGGCTCCTGATCGAATGGGCTGAAATGTCTTTGAAACTGTCCTGCCTCTGGACCTAGTCTAGATCCATCATTGGTAGCAGCAGGAGCTGGATATCCAGCAGCTTGGTACCCAATAAAACCTGATCCCTCTTGAAGATGAGGGTTTACAGAGTAAGGCAAGGATGAAGGAACTCTTACTTCATTGGTTGTATAATTGGTGGCTCCCCCCCATTTGGGCGTTGTACCCCCACACGCTGGATTGGTATCGGAACTCACCTCAGAGTTCATGCAGTCCATACAAGTGGGGATAAGAAAAACCACCAAAAATAAGAAGCTCATCACAGATCCAATGACGATTAAAAATAAATGTGTGTAGCTGATAGTAGATAGATAGCTTTCATTTTGTACCACTTCTGGAGAAAGGAAGAAAATGTAGTAAGATCATTTTAAAAAGTCACTTATTAACACACCCCACATACAAAAGTATGTACCGGTAGTCTAACTGAAAAATATATTTGAAAAAATTGCCACTTTATGTGCAAGAGCTCAATGACTAGAATTTAAAATTTATTGAATATTTATAATTACCGGTACCGGTACATGAATATGATGCATATCAACATAATTTTTAATATGAGGAATCAGATCAGTTCAATTAAGTATGGTAGGTACTCAAATGATGGATGTGTTAAAGTTAAATATAAAATATAATAATAGAAGCATTTTATCCATACTGACCAGTGTCCCATTCATGGGAGGAGACTGTAGCACAGACAAAATTTGTGGAATAAGAAAGCAGAACTATTGCTACTACATTTTTCCACAAGAATACAGCATAGAAGGGCATTTCTCTTAGGTCATTATCATCATCACAGATGTCTTTGGTATCTAAAAACAATAGGGAAAAAATATAATATGAACTAGAATCAATTACATAATATATTTTAAATACCGGTACATCAATAAACCTGAGCTTGAAGTTAAAGCCTTTGGTAATGTAGTAGTCAAATTAATAGGCCTAAGACAGGAGTCAGTTATTTAGATCTAGAAATTTTAGAGTTAAGGCTTCAATAAATTAAATAAATTTTAAACTAATATAAATTCAGTTTTTTTTTAAATCTAAGAACTCCTAGATCAAATAGAGACATAATTTCTATGTATTTTCATAACTGAAAAACTGAATAACCTTTTTTTCTACTTAACTATTAACATCATATCAGGTATATGATAGAAACATGAAATTGATATCAAAGGAGCGCAAATGATCCATACATGCCAACCTGGACAGTTTACAGTTACTTTGAATGGGTTATAAAAGTTTTTTGAGTTGTATGGCTGCATAGGATTGTGTACAGTTTTTCCCTGCATTTGGAAAATAAATATTTTTGCACAAGGATTGATAAAACATGATTGAATCTTAACTGAATAAATTGGTCAACAGCAAGCTGGTATCCTATTGGTCTGTTCAAAATGATCTTTGGTCCAAAATCTGAGTTTGGTAGGCTATCTAAATTTAGTACCGGAAACTGAGCAAAGTTTCGTTGAGACCACTCGTTAATTGTACTATAGCATTGTTCGGTATTAACTACTTTGAGTTTGAGTTAAAAAAACAAGATTAGAAATCAGTTTGTGTAATTCTTATTATAACTTCTAGATAAAATTTTATATCCTCTCAGTGCTTATGGTAGGAAAAAAAAACAATCCACTGGACTTTTCCTGAAGTACAGGGAAAATATGGCTGCAAACTTAATAACTTTGTCAAGGCAGTGGAAATGTATTTCCTTTAATTAAATTTAAAAAAGGAACCTACATTACTAAATCGAGCATGATTAATTGAAGAATATGTCAAATTACATCTAAAATGCTATCAAATACATCTAAGTCAATTTATTTCAAAATTGCTATTGACCAGTGTAAAATTGCAAAATCTGACAAAATGTCACTAAAACAAACTATTTTTATTTCTAAAAAGGCTTATATAAAATTTAAAAAGGCTTAAATGTGTGCACAGAAAAGGGGAGATTGTTTATGAAATTTAGGCCCAACATGAAGCCAAAGTTTGCATGCATTCAATTAAAATTGATAGCAGTAATAAAATGTTGAAAAAGTTATAAATTATACTTTTTTCGACTTTTTTTTTTTTTTGAACTGGAGCGGTTATTCATGATGTTGTACAGTTTTTTATCCAAACAGGTTGGCATGTATGATGATCTATGCATTCAATTAAAATTGATAGCAGTAATAAAATGTTGAAAAAGTTATAAATTATACTTTTTTCGACTTTTTTTTTTTTTTTTTGAACTGGAGCGGTTATTCATGATGTTGTACAGTTTTTTATCCAAACAGGTTGGCATGTATGATGATCCCTTCTTTCTCATTTACTAATGATGTAGGCTGGGTTTTATTAATATTTAATTTAACAACTTTGACATTTCTAGTTAAGTATAAATATATAAAATTGAAATATATAGTATAGGCCTATATAATTGAATTTAACTATAGGGACCGTAATCTACAACTTCAGCGTCAGCTTTTCAAAAATCGTGTTTTTCAGGACTGAAATGCTATTTTATTTTTACCAGAGATACCACTGCAGAGAGTGGAGGGAGGAGTTTTTGCTGGCACTGGCAGTGACAGAGAGAGTGGAAGCTGTTTTATTGTTGAAGTGTCACACCGACATGTGATCACTTAACAGGAGTGCATAGAAAGATATATTCTACCAGGTTCACACATTGTCTCGAATCGATGGGCAGCTCATGCAAAAATAAATCAGATCAGACACAAAATCTTAAAAACTCTGTTGCGGTCCAGTCACAAAACTTTGTTGATCCAAATGTCGCTGTCACTTGTTACTGGTCTCCATGCACAGAATGTAGAAAATATGTGTATTCTCAAACTTAAACTGAACAGATTTTTTTGCACCAGCCGCACTCTTATCCCTTCTTTATCCCTACCCTGGGGGGAGGGGGGGGGCACTATGATAAACTAAAACTAAAACTCTGTTTGAATATTTATCTATGTGCTGACAATGAATATTGAGTAAAATGTCATTTAAAAAAAAAAATTGCGATTTGTTTGGATCAATAAATAAAATAATTTTTTCTTCATGAATGAGGAATCTTAATAAATATCAATTTAAAAAATACCATATAATTATTTAATTATTAATATACAGCCAGTGCTCGACTTACGACCACAATCGGTTCCGACAGACCGGTCGTAAAACGATTTGGTCGTAAGTTGAGTATGCTATGTGTACAGAAATGTGAAGTGATACTATACAATTATTAAAGTAAAACTATATCATAAATTTCTTTTATTTGTTATAAATCATCTTTTCGATGGGAGTTCAAATTTTCAAACTCTGAAGAGCTCTCCAATCAACAAGCTTTATCAGTGCTTGGGGAAGTCAATGGACCTAGGGTTATTGAGTCTGACCATGTTATTTCTTAGAAATCATTGGTAATTTACGTGGTCAACTGCCACTATTTTATCGAATTTCACGAATGGAATGTATCCCTAAATCGATCCCTATGCCTAACCTGAACCCTAAATCAATCCCTCAGGCTAATGACTAATGGCTTTAAGTTTTAACCTAAGCCTAAACTAAACCCTAATTCACTCTACTATTAAAATTAACTATAACCATAAACACACAAAAGACGCCGTGGCAGTTCTGCACTTTTACCGGAAATATATAATTATATAATAGGCCTATATTAAGGCTATATTATATTATTAATATTATATAATTATTATCAATATATATATTAATAATATTAAATATTATTATTTTCGAATTATAATTAATAATAATATTTATATTTTATTCAATGTCTGTGAGTGAGCAGTTTTGAAATTATTTAAATACAATCAACGGTAAAAAAATAACTTGTGGCAGCCTTACTAATTCTTAATTTGTAGCCCTACTTACAATTAATGAATAAATTGAATATTGTAAATTTTAGAACTTAAATATTGTTTTTGTAAGTTACATGGCGGAAGTAAGACAAAAAGTTAAAGCTACAAACTGTCTACAAGTTAGGTCACTCCCTTCATTAATCTGTCTTTTCTGTTTTGTTAACTCCCTTACAAAGCGTAAAAAGCATATTTTTTTTATTTTATTATGCCATATGATGCAACATCCCAAAATCAGAGTTCATTTGCTCCAGTTTATAATAATTTATAATTATATATTTATATATA